GCTCTTGATACTGGCTTAGTGCAGAATTAATTACATGTATCCCGGGCTGTTTAGGAGGGATAACTGTGTCTTCAATGACAGAAGTCAATCGGTGGGTCCTAACACTTTTATTAGTGATTCAATGTGTATAACTACATGATGTTACAACAATGACTAGGCGTAATGGGGGCGGTCGTCAGCCAGCCTGACCGCGTCGCTGTCTCCTGGTCGAGTCGACCAAGCACAAGGCATTCTCAATTTATCTGAAGATACCAGTCGGACTGCCCGTTGTGTGGCGGTATCCGCACTCATCCTGTGTCGTATTTCGGTGGCCATCCAGCCTTTGTCTGGCTTTGAGATATGGTCGGCTGGGGACTCTGTGGTGGTGTTGCTGACCAGTGGTCGTGTTTGTGTTGGGTTAGAACCACTTTGACGGCATGAGATTAGGTGGCAGAGGCTATTCAGTTTGCATTGCTCAGGGAATGTTATGAATGTCTAGATGAAGCCTCTTCCAGGCTGCTTCGTTAATGGTATGCTCTTGTGAGGAGGATGGATCATGTGCATTGTGGATAGAGATGGCGATAACTTGTTTCAGCATATGCTATCTGGAAGTGTAGGGATGAAGCATAAGGCTATAATCAGTTTGGGCTTGGTTTTGCATTGACAGAAATAATTATACAGGCAATACCAATTCAGGCTGATGTGACAAACATCTTTCATTATTTAGTGATGACCTATTTGGATAATGCTTTGTAACATATGACACATGGTGTCAAACACTGATATGCATTCATAAAGTTGAAATGACTAATTTAAATGAGATTTGCTGATAGCAATATCGACATTAAATGACACAGTAAATATTTCTTTAAAGACAATTTCCTTTGGTAAATTAAGATACGTAATAGAACGGAACCCATTTTTCTAAATCAACATATTGACAGGCCGAATAACACACTAAATCAAAGAAAGTCAGGTACAAGAAACAACTATAGATCGAATATCTTCCACTGAATAACCTGTGCGATGACAAGTGTTTTGGAAGCAACAGAAAGTACAAAGTAGCATCAATATGGACATAAGAAATGGATCAATCATTTTTATCATCCTAACAATCAGACAAGACAGCCCGTCACCATCTCAGCTCTCTCTCTCTCTCTCTCTCTCTCTCTCTCTCTCTCTCTCTCTCTCTCTCTCTCTCTCTCTCTCTCTCTCTCTCTCTCTCTCTCTCTCATCTCTCTCTCATCTCTCTCTCTCTCTCCTCTCTCTCTCTCTCTCTCTCTGCTCTTTCTCTCATTATCTCTCTTCATGCCTATCCCGGGACTCTCATGCCTCTCTCTCTGTTACAAAAAACATTATCACTCTCCTTCCTGTATCTCATCTCTTCGTCACAACACAACTCAAATCCTATACACACATCATTTGATACATAATATCCATAATTTGACATATCAATAACATTATATTATTAAATTCAAGGGCACGGCATTAACATGCTGATCCACAAAAATACATTATAAGCTGTTCGAGAACACACATTCACTCTTTTAAATATCAGCTTTAAATGATCGATCAAATCAATGTACATGAAAGCTAGTACATATTGATAAGCTGGGCAGGGGTACATAGTACAAATAGAAGCGGTACATACACAAATATGTGTATGCTATTACCGATAGAATACAAACGGACATGAAATTGAACATATTGACCAAAGCAAGCATTTAGTGGTGCAGGAAACAATTGAGCGGGTAGGGGGATTGAGGCTTACACTCCTCTGGGACTCGGGATGGTATAACCCACAGTGGACACACATGTATGTGGTGTGTGTGTGGGCATGATAGATTGGAGGCGGGGTGGGAGGTGCTGGGATGGGAAAGAGTGGAGAGGCGCAGCCGTGAGGGAATGGGGTGTGGGGAATCATTGTTCGGGAAGGTTGAAAATAATTTGCTGGGTTATGTCAAGCTCCTCCTGCAGTCTGTTCAGGCTGAGGCGTTCGGTAGGGTGAATTGACAGACATGAATCCCTCAGTACCTGCTGGAGTTTGTAAATATCCTCTGCTACCTGAGCACTTTCAATCATGTAGGTCAAAGTGTCATGGTATGGTGACAATACATTGGACAATGTGGGGGAGGTTTCTGAAAATGAGGTCTTTTATAGAATTGATCCTCATTGCAACAAACGGGATGCCTCATACCGCACAGACTGAAGAAATGAACGAAAGTCCTCATGTTCTGCTTGCTTCCTGTCAATAAGGGCATTTTTCCAATGATGGCTTGGATGGACGAGGGGCCATACCTTTGTAAAAGCATTGATCTAAGTTCAGGCCATGTCATGTTATCTTTTACTAGGAAGTCCTTCATACCAAGGTGAAGCTGACTGTGATAAATATAAGGGGAAAAGGTTAACAATTTCTTCATCAATGTAATTGTGAAGTTTGACAAATTTCTGGAATCGACTAAGCCAGGAAGGTGCCGATTGGGAATCATGTCCGTCGAATAATGGCATAGGAATGGTTGTGAATCTGACGCGGGGTTGGGGACAGACAGCATGACGGTCAGTGGGCTTAGGAGGAGCATGGAGGGGAGAACAGCAACGCCACAACAATGGGGATTGTAAAATGCGACAAAGGGTGATCAGGGTGTTGAGGGAGAGACGGGAATCTGAGCTGGTGGATGTATTGTCGTGAGTCATGTCATTACATTTAGATTTTCGGCGGATCCTCCAAGGAAAATATGACTTACTGGAGGATCCGTCATCAGATTTAGAAGAAAAGAAAGACATTGAAAAATAGTGAATGAATGAATGAACCAAACCGTATTAACACTCAACCTGTAGTGTATAACAATAGAAACACAGAAATATCACTAAAAGTCACTAACACTTGTATAGTTCTTAGTTTTCTCCTCAGTCAGTCTTCGTTTATACGAACACAGTATTTGCTGTTGGACGAGTGTGCGTGAAGCTTGTGATGATGGACCAGTTCTTGTGTTCACACCTTTGTCCCATGAAAGCACAATATCACAACAGTTGTATTTGATGAACCGTGTCCTTGTGACTGGAACGAGTCACAATAGACATGCTGGGTGGTCAGCTGTTGCTGTAGCCTAATGTTGGTGGCTCTTCAACTGTCGATGTGATGTGGACCCAGTATGGATTAATATCGTCGGAGGTTCATTCAAGACCTTTGATGCCGAGAGGTTACGAGATCTTGGTCTCCACCATGTATCCCGGGCTGTTTAGGAGGGATAACTGTGTCTTCAATGACAGAAGTCCATCAGTGGGTCCACAACACTTTTATTCGTGATTCAGTGTGTATAACTACATGATGTTACAACAATGACTAGGCGGCATGTCGGAGGCGATCGTCAGCCAACCTGACACGTCGCTGTCTCCTGGTCAAGTCCCGACCAACACAAAGCATTCTCAATTTATCCCTAAGGCTCTGATCAGACTGCCACGTGTCGCAGTATCCCGCACCTCATCCACAATGTCATGCTTCAGTGGCCATCCAGCCTTTGTCTAACTTTGAATATAGTCAGCTAAGGACTCTATGGTGGTGGCCACACTGACAATGGTCATGTTGTGTTGATTCATTTCCACTGACAGCATGGTCATTACTTAGAGAGCTATTCAATTTACATTACTCAAGGAATATTATAGATATCCCCGATAAACCCTCTTCCAAACTGCCTACGATATATGTTTTGATTTACCTAGCAGTCAATAGTGCTCTTCTTAAGGGTCGGGCATTAATCCAGTTCATCTTCATTAAAAACATATCCTTATGCTTGCCAATGGACACCAATCACAGTTCACCCCAAAAAGACCTATCACTTGACCAATCAGAGTATGGCTTACTAGATCAAAGAAGTGAAAGTCTGAATCTGTTTATAACATAATTGAGACATTTGTTTACACAAGTTGCAAATAGTAGTCTCAAATGAAACTTGTCAGTTGGAGACAAGTGACATAGAGCTTGAGAGAGCAGCTTTTTCATAATCACATTGGTGTGTCAAAGTTCAATAAGTCACTCTAATGTGACCTGTTCTGAAGCGATGTGCTTAGATTTTAGTGTAGACGTAGCAACAACTAAGATACGATTTTAATGAGATTGATCTAGCTGAAATGTTGGCCATTTCAAATAAGTCCTGACAGACTACAAATGAAGGAGTTTCTGAGAGCTGTCATGTTAAAGACGAACATCTTCCTGAGTAATCAGACTCAGGGAGCAAATTCCTTATTTTATGGAGACTTATGCCACAAGACAATACAACTGATTTCATCACTTGTTGTACTCGTTGATGAGTGAGTGAGTATAGTTTTATGCCTCTTTTAGCAATATTCCAGCAATATCACTGCCAGGGACATCAGTAAAGGGCTTCAAACATTGTACCCATGTGGGAAACGAACGAATGCTTTAACCACTAGACTACCCCACCACCCCTAATCGTAGGTGAGCAGCAGTGTTTGTTTCAGTGGCTATGATGGATAATTTTCAGAGAGTTTGACATGATCTGAACAGGACTTAATATTTATCCTAGTCCCAATAGCAACCATAGCTTTGTTTTATCATACTAGGATGGTGACATGGTATATATGATATGGACACCATGAGATCAGAGGTTGACACCATTCTGTTGTCATCACTGAATCTGGTCCTGACCAACCCATTCCACGATAAAACAATATTCACTCACTTCAGAAGAGTTTAACAGTGTTTTTCATAAAGTTGACCTTGATAAATGTTTCATTCAATTACAGAAACATACTCCCCTGACTGAAAGGTTCTGAGAATAAATATCGTCTCTGATCTAACCTTGATCTCCTTCCTGCTTCTTGACCTTGATCTCGTGCGACTTCTACCTCGCGTGAATCTGACCTTGACCTCCGACCTCTACTTCTGGAATCAGACCTTGACCTCCGACCTCTGCTTCTGGAATTTGACCTGGATCTTCTCCTGGTATGTCTGTCTCTACTTCTTGACCTGTATCTGTCTCTGTTTCTTCTCTCTGGACTCACCACGACCTAGATCTGGATTAAAATAAGTAGATGTAAAGGATTTGTGAATTGATTTATTGTGCTATCAAGAAGAAACGAGGTGTATATTAACATACCTGAAAGCGAGGGTAATTCTTTTACCACAACACGATTTGATGCCACTTTTAACAACATTCCAGCAAATTCATGGCCAGGAACATCTGTTATACACTCGCATAAACTTGATTCGTTGATGTAAGGGAAGTGCGGCGAAAATCATATTTTAAATGCACGATTTCATTTAGTATACTCACTAAATATGTTATTCATTGATTCAGCAAATAGAAAATGGCTAATATTCCACTCATGAATGAAACGTTTGTTTACCGAAGCTATTTGCAATCATCACCCATTCATGTACCCACAAAATGTGACGTCACCTTGTATCGTGGATTACATAGTTGGTTACTTTATATCACTTTGCAACATCAACGGCACGACAGCCCATTGCAGTAAGTATTGACACCTATGAATGCAGGCACTATGAAAGCAGAAATGTGAGAAGGTTGGTGCTAACTGTACCTTTTTCACTTGACATTTTGTAAAAATAAATTTTTTAATTGTTGGCATTAGTGACCATGGGCTATTTATCTCAGTGCTGACCAATTAGATTTAGTGTACTTACATGTAATGCAGAGATTCAGGACACTTTGTGTCAGCGAGGCAAGGCACTGTATGTACATCAAAAGGGCCGCTTCATGATATCAAACGAGACTTAATTTACGAGAAAGCATGATAATTACCGCCATTCACAATTCAAGGTTATCCACAAATTTAGGTTACGGTTGTGTACATTGTACACTTGAGATATTCAGTAAGGGGCAGTGGTGTGCACATTTAAACTTGTGCTATAACCTTATAGGCATCTTGTTATGAATGAGAGTGTGTTTTTTTTGTAATTTGTAATATCATTGATTATATGGGTCACAATGTTTAAAGTTTTGAGTGTGGGTTTGGGCTTGCATCCCGCATCATATATGTTCAATGGCAATAGTATTTGTAGCGGCGCGCCTTTTTGATAGCACTTTGGAGTTGCTTCCCTTGGCTGGCTTTATTTTGTTTTGACCTTTCAGGTCTTGTCATGTCTTGTGTTTACGATGGCTTTTGTGAACGTTCCAAGAGGATAATGATGGAGCCTAGCTTGCTAGAATGCTCAATAACCGTGTAAGAGTTATATGAAGGCTGGTTGTTGTGTTTGTGCTTACACAGGACTTTTCACATGACTGGATTTATACACATCTGTCTGCCAGTTTCAAATGTAAGACTTTGATAGTTTGTTTTATTTTGACATTTAATTAACAATACTTTGAATGTAAATTAAATACAGTAATATACTCGTAACTCTCCATTTCTTAAAAATAACAGACCTCGGTTCCATTCTTATTCAGGAATGGAGAGTTACTCAGATATTACCTCTCAGGGCTCCAGATAACTTTTGGGAGAGTGGGTGTACTTACACCTCAAATTGCAAGTGGAGATGAACTGAGAATTTTGAAGGAGTACTGACATGTTTTGTGTGAGCAAGTTGGTGATGTGGTTTGTTATTTATAATATTCAACAAATTGTCAGCTATTAAACCTTATATGTTAGACGTACAAAGGTATTTATGTGCATACATGATACATTTGAAATCTTATAGTAAGTCGTACTTCATTGATTTTAGGCGTACATTACGCCTGTATGCCCCTTATCTGTAGCCCTGCCTCTGCAGAATGATTTAGAAAGATCTAGAAAGAAATTATTCTAGAATCATCTGGAGAGGTAGATAAGGGGAGTTAACTCTTGCCTCATCTCACATTACATCTCAAGCTACCAGAAGACCAACAATGTGTGTGACGATCATATATCCTGCCTGAGCCTGCAACAGGGGTTGCTGTTGCTGAGAGGTGAATGTTATCATCATTGTCGTTCTTGCTACAATCGCTGTTCTGGTATCAAATTTGATCTTGTACTGCCATAGTGATAGCCTTGAATTGATTTGAGAAATTAGTATATTTTAGAATACAACTGCTACTTACAGCACATTTGTTGTTTGCCAGTTTCATGCATAGTTCGGGGGCAGTGGGGTAGCCTAGTGGTTAAAGCCTTTGCTTGTCATGCCGAAGACCCGGGTTCGATTCCCCACATGGGTACAATGTTTGAAGCCCATTTCTGGTGTCCCCCATCGTGATATTGCTGGAATAGTGCTAAAAGCGCCGTAAGACCAAACTCACTCCTCACAGTTCTCTTACGGACTGATTCCTGGTTAAGTATTTAGTTTCAAAATGGGAATCAACACGTAACACAGCTTAAGTTAAATGATGGGCAACAGACAAATAGAAGCAAGTTGGAACTCACCTGAACAGCAGTCTCAGTAAACAATTTTCCTTATAAATATGATGTCCACTCACAGTGTTAAAATACACTGGATTTAAATATTTTGAATGACCTAAGGCAACAACTATCATCCAATGTGACTTATAACTGGATCAAGTAACAGTACTGCGATGCACTGAACATTTAATAAACTATTATTGTCTTGGTACTAACCTCTTTCTATCCCTGCTTCTTGACCTCCGACCTCTACTTCTTGACCTTGACCTTCTTAAAGCACGGTCTCTTGATCGACTCGCGAGATCTTTTCTTGTGCTTCGCCTTCTTCGACTTTTTATGCTTACTGGAGTATCTGCTGCTTCCACTGCTGGCCGATCTGTACACAAGCAGATGACCGAATATATTACTCTATGGCCATTCATTGATCGAAATGATAAGACATTAAACTGCCTTTGAAATGCATGCTAGTATGCTGGCCCTTGACTACAAAATTGGCTGAGGACAAGTAAGATTCGAAAGTGTCCATGTTGACAGTAGTCCTTACTGACAAGCAGTATATGAGTACCACAGTTCTCAACCAGTTCTCAATGCTTCATTTATGCTACAAATTTGGATTCAAGCTGGATTAGAAGTGAACTCCAAGCAACACTGAAAGGTGGTTTCCACTTGTAATCTGAGCAGGTCTTTTTTATTTTGTTTGTTGTTTCACACTGCACTCAGCAATATTCCAGCGATATCTGATTTACAGACAATCCAGTGATCAACAGCATAACCATCAACTTACTCAATTGATACAATGACATGTGTCAAACCAAGTCAGCTTAGCCTGACCACCTGATCCCATTAGTCACCTCTTACAACAAGCATGGGTTTCTGAAGAGCAGTTCTAACCCGATATTCATGGGTAAACCTGGTCCATTTTCTAAAATGGTGTAAACAAACTGCCTAGATTGAAACACTGAAAACTTGTGTCCAGTTCGGTATTTTATGTGTATGATTTTGTGAAATATTTTCGCATGCATATTGCTGTTGAAAAATGGGGTATCATTGCTTAAAATTTCACTGGTGAAATCACAACTTTTGTTTCTTGAAACTGCTTAATGTTTTCCTTCACTAAACTTCTTGAAACATAACCTTTGCTATAGCATTGATGAAAATGTTCACTGTTGCCTTTCTGAAAAACCCATATGAACTATTTCCTTCCCCAATTTTGTCACAGCACCACTCATCATCTTTACAATGGATATAATAAATACATTATTATTATCATTATTATTAAAACCAGCAGTGACGAGTTAGTGCAACATCCAGGGAACCTGGGTGGGGTTTCATTTTCCCCTAGACTTTAATGTTTATTGTATGGCTGCCCAACACAATATTTCAGAAGCCCACACAGTCTGACAAGTCCATGAGCAAACAAGAAATAATGATGATGATGATGATGATGATGATGATGATGATGATGATGAAGATATTGAGGATATACTCAACCTTGATCTGGACCTAGACTTTCTCCTCTTCTTTTTCTTTGATTTCTTCAGATCATAATCATCATCACTATCTGAATAACGTCCCATTTTGCCAAGATAGCACCTGTTGAATATACTGGAACAATGAAATGGATATTAGGCTGCAAAACACCTGCCATGACAAACTGCATACATCACGAAGCAGACAACAATTCTTTCTGGAGGCTGGATATACACTAAAGGAGATTAGTACCATTAACAGATTTCTATAAACTGTCACTATTGATCATGTTGATTATTACTAGGCTATTGAATTCACATGTGAAGTGCATCGAAATTTAAAAGTAATCATAACCCAATGATGTAGCCCCATAGAATTAGTGTTGGAGTCTGAAACAGGAATTGGGAAAAGACTTCCGCCCGTATCCCCCCCCCTTAAATTACCATTTTGCTTGTGTCTGTATGCACAATGTCATTATAACTTATGTTATGTCTTCTAGTCAAATCATATAACCAAATCATATTTTCCTCATCGTTAAAATTTAGGGGTGATACGGGCGGAAGTCATACCGAGTGAAGTTGACAGCCATGTGTTGATCCACGTACCCGACACTCAGACACTGACAATCTTGGGCGGCATTATATGAATATATCCATTTATTTTCCGTATTTATTTAATTATACTCAGCAAAACTACGCTATAAACACATGTATTTCTTTAAAACATTACCAGAGGTGTGGTTTTACCTTGTTTTTAATCGGTCCGCATATCTTTCGTCGTGCCTTCGTTTGTTGATACCCACTCGCAGAGTGTGTGCAATAGAGTTATCTCCCGTGGCGTCGCGGAACAAATTTAGAGTCGCTTATACCACAGCAAAGAGACTTTCCGAAGATTCCTTATCATTCACCAAAGGATCGTGTGATCATTGTAGCTGGAATGATAGAATGTAAGTTACATATGTTCCTTTGCTTGATATTACGGATGCTTTGGGAGAGTCGCTTTGCTATGATGTAAGCGATACTAAAGGTAGTATTTTTTATGTCACAAATATGTCATCGTATCCCAATTGCCTAGATCGATGCCTCATGCAGTTGATCACTGATTGTGTGGTCTAGACTTGATTATTTACAGACCGCCGTCATATATCTGAATATTGCTGAGTGCGGCGTGAAACTAAACCCACTCACTCATTCCATCTATCATTAAAAGACATGAATATTCTTGGATCATTGCACTGACAGTACCATGTGACGCCATGTTTGTTTAGACTGTGAAAAATCAGCATATGACCTCTCTAATGTGCCTCAATATCCATATATGACCCCAACAGATACTGAAAATATCTGTTGACTTTATCTTGTTGCAAAGCTATCCATTGTATGTTAAATTGATATCCTGGATGTTCTGATGATGCTGAGTTCTACGTTACGGACTGTGGCATGCACAAACATTCACACGTTCTGATCCGTGTTTTCCTAACTGTTTTACGGCTTGCTCAACATCAAGGCTATATCCGTGTCAACTGGGACAAAAGTTGAACAAGGTGTGAATCGTGCCAAGAAAGAACTACATAAAGAAGCCAACAAGCGGTATCCTGGGATTTTACAAAATGTAAGATAATTGTCATAGTACATGCAGACTCCTCTCTCTCGGCATTGAAAGTTTTGTGGGTGTTGGCGTGTAATATAAGACTTGTAGATGACTCAACATGTTCATTGATATATTGCATGGAGTTGATGTTCAAGGGTGGTCACACTCACATGCTTGTTTACCAGTATTGAAGACAAGCTGATGCCCAGGGATGCCCACGCTTGAGGTTCTTGACGCACAACGGATATGTTTGTTGATACCTGTGACCTGTGTGTTTCTAAAGTTTCGCAGACTGTAACGACATGTAATTAAGAAATGCAGTTCATTCTACCCACATGTATAGTGGAGCAAAGGATACTTTGGCCACCTGTGAAGATCCGGTTAGAATTGGTCTTCAGCAACCCATGCTTTTAAGAGGCGACTAACAAGATCGGGTGGTCGGGCTCTTTTGACATGTGCCATCGTGATCCCAATTGTGTAGATCAATGGTCATGTTGATGATAACAAGATTGACTGGTCAAGACTGGATTAATTACAGACCGCCACCATATCGCCTCAAATATTGCTGAGTGCGCGTAAAACAATTAACTAACGACAACACCCTTTGCCCAGATATACCATTGGGCTCACTGTGAAGCTCATGCCTGGTGTCCTCTGCCGTGATATACCATTGGGCACACTGTGAAGCCCATGCCTGGTGTCCTCTACAGTGATATACCATTGGGCACACTGTGAAGCCCATGCCTGGTGTCCTCTGCAGTGATATACCATTGGGCTCACTGTGAAGCCCATGCCTGGTGTCCTCTGCAGTGAGATACCATTGGGCACACTGTGAAGCCCATACCTGGTGTCCTCTACCGTGATATACCATTGGGCACACTGTGAAGCTCATGCCTGGTGTCCTCTACCGTGATATACCATTGGGCACACTGTGAAGCCCATGCCTTGTGTCCTCTGCAGTGATATACCATTGGGCTCACTGTGAAGCTCATGCCTGGTGTCCTCTGAAGTGAGATACCTTTGGGCACACTGTGAAGCCCATGCCTGGTGTCCTCTGCAGTGATATACCATTGGGCTCACTGTGAAGCCCATGCCTGGTGTCCTCTGCAGTGAGATACCATTGGGCACACTGTGAAGCCCATACCTGGTGTCCACTACCGCGGATATACCATTGGGCACACCAGAAGCCCATGCCTTGTGTCCGCTGCAGTGATATACCATAGGGCTCACTGTGAAGCTCATGCCTGGTGTCCTCTGCAGTGGGATACCTTTGGGCACACTGTGAAGCCCATGCCTGGTGTCCTCTGCAGTGATATACCATTGGGCTCACTGTGAAGCCCATGCCTGGTGTCCTCTGCCGTGAGATACCATTGGGCTCACTGTGAAGCCCATGCCTGGTGTCCTCTGCAGTGATATACCATTGGGCTCACTGTGAAGCCCATGCCTGGTGTCCTCTGCAGTGAGATACCATTGGGCACACTGTGAAGCCCATGCCTGGTGTCCTCTGCAGTGATATACCATTGGGCTCACTGTGAAGCTCATGCCTGGTGTCCTCTGTCGCGGATATACCATTGGGCACACTGTGAAGCCCATGCCTGGTGTCCTCTGCCGTGAGATACCATTGGGCACACTGTGAAGCTCATGCCTGGTGTCTCCCGCCGTGAGATACCATTGGGCACACTGTGAAGCCCATGCCTGGTGTCCTCTATTGTGATATACCATTGGGCACACTGTGAAGCCCATGCCTGGTGTCCTCTGCCGTGAGATACCATTGGGCACACACCAGAAGCCCATGCCTCATGTCTCCCCGCAGTGAGATACCATTGGTCACACTGTGAAGCCCATGCCTTGTGTCCTCTGCAGTGATATACCATTGTGCACACTGTGAAGCCAATGACTGGTGTCTTCTGCCGTGATATACCATTGGGCACACTGTGAAGCCCATGCCTGGTGTCTCCCGCCGTGAGATACCATTGGGCACACTGTGAAGCCCATGCCTTGTGTCTCCCGCCGTGATATACCATTGGGCACACTGTGAAGCCCATGCCTGGTGTCTCCTGCAGTGAGATACCATTGGGCACACTGTGAAGCCCATGCCTTGTGTCTCCCATCAGCGATATACCATTGGGAACACTGTGAAGCCCAGACCTTGTGTCTCCCCGCCGTGAGATACCATTGGGCACATTGTGAAGCCCATGCCTGGTGTCCTCTGCAGTGAGATACCATTGGGCACACTGTGAAGCCCATGCCTTGTGTCTCCCGCCGCGGATATACCATTGGGCACATTGTGAAGTCCATGCCTGGTGTCCTCTACCGTGATATACCATTGGGCTCACTGTGAAGCCCATGCCTGGTGTCCTCTGCCGTGGAGATACCATTGGGCACACTGTGAAGCCCATGCCTGGTGTCTCCCACCGCGTGAGATACCATTGGGCACACTGTGAAGCCCATACCTGGTGTCTCCTGCCGTGATATTGCTGGAATAGTGCAAAAGCGGCAAAAAACCCAACTCACTCACTCACTGAACTACCGTAGTTAAAGATATATGTGACAGTAGGTATAGTGTCCGTATATTACACAAGTATCACACCTGTCTGTGTAATTACATCATGTGACATAGACCGAACTCGGGTGCACAAGCCATAAATCAATGCGTTATATGCCTGATAGGTGTTAAGTTCCAATTGCATGTGGTCAGTGATTGCAGTTGTGTATTGCATATTGTCATTAGCAGACAGGCAGGCAGACACATTTTCACTGCCCATGCGCCATGAGCGCAGTGCAGCACAGCTGTTGAAACTACTTTTCACCCCAGCAAATTTCGCGCGGTGTGTGTGTGTGTGTGTGTGTGTTTCATGACGTTATTTTTCAACTTTATAACTTTTTTTGCAATTTTTGATCATTTGTTTCTGCAAGTCCATATCGAAAGGTATCAGAATCTGCAAAGTTATGTTTTTATGTTGCATATGACCTTTAACCAACTTTTATATATGTAGGACATAAATTCTGCTAAGAACTCACAGAGTTGGTCTGATGTTTTGATTATGATCATTGAGCATTATATGTTTATTAGTTTCCAGTAAGATTCTGATTCATCTATCCGCTTTTGAATGAAACCGACTATACCCATCTAATATTTTTAATAAAATGTTTCGCTGATAATATAAATGAAATACACAATACCATTTTTAGAAAGTGGTCAAATGCAACGTATGTTATATTTGGGATTACACTTTCTTAGTAAAGTACAGATTCTAGTACTTTTTTGGGTGGGGGTGGTTTTGAGTCATATCGGACAGGCACCTAATCGCTGAGCACACACAAAGTCAGACACCCGCTTCCACAAAAATGGAAGTCCTGACAACTGGTAGTCTAGACTGCAGACCTTGTGTACCCCTCTGATTAGGTGCCTGACTCTGAGGGTTTGGGTTCGAATCCGGATAGGACTCAATCCCCCAAAAGTACTAGAATCTGTACTTTACTAAGAAAGTGTAATCCCAAATATAACATATGTTACATTTGACCACT